AAAAAAAAATACAAATCAAACTAGTTTGAAATCATTTTGACCTGAAATCATTTTAAATTACAACACATATGGTACACTGCAATAAGTATTTTTTTCAAATAAAAACATTGCTCCCCCTCCTCCCCCAAAGAGGCCTCATATTACACCATTCTCCACAATAGCCAGTGGCCACTTTCATCTGTTCCCAAGGAGGCCATTCTGGAGAGGTTCCACTAGAGTTACAATTCTTTTTTGTTACATGCAAGTAGTGAACTTACCATATACATTTAACTTGACAATGGCACTCTCACGTCTTCCAACAAGGTTTGATGCCACACAAGAGTAGTCACCACCGTCTGATAATTTTGCCTTCCTGATAATGACAAGAGAGGAATTGCTGTCACTTTTCACCAACAATCTTCTATTCTTGTCTGTATCTACAGGGTTACCATCTTTCAACCAAGACACAGCAGGGCTTGGGTTTCCTGCCGGGGGCTTGCATCTTAAAGTAAGCAAAGAATTTTTCTGAACTCTGGTGTTGACTGATGGAAAAATGACAAAGTCCTCATCCAGATCTGACATGAAATAACAATAAAAAAATTATACAAAAGTGCAATCAATATAATTACAATTATTGCTAAAAAAAAAAAAAGTACATTTAGACTATTCAATGCCTTTGCAGATCACACAGTTTCCTGGCTGTTCCGGACACTGAAAATGTTCAGTGCCACCTACTACAAAACATTCTCTGTCTAAGTCTTCAAATTTTTGGGAGATCCCTGAGTTGCCTATGCACCAAGAGAATCAAACACTGAACACACACTTACAAGCTCTCTGAACAGTTGCAGCACGGCTTCTTATAACTTGTCCATTGTAGCCTGTGGCGATACAATTGCAGAGGAAAACAGAAGTTCTATTCTTGATTTGACTTTCAGAGATCTCAGCAATAAGAAATGTCACATTGTCAATGTACTCATCATTTAATATTACTCTGGGTACCAGTTTCCCAGAACAGTTGAACTTGAGCTTTGACACAAATTTGGCCTCACAAGTCAAAGTCCCTGGAGTATTTGGCAAGATAAATTTGTCATCTGGCTCTTCTGTAAACTGAGGGTTTACTGCCACATGGCCAGCAGCTGTTATTAAGAAAAAAAAGAAGCAGAAGCTTGATTACTTTCCAGATTCCAGATAATCATGTCATGTTGGATATGTTGTGGTTCAATTTTACTATTGCTACAATTGGGTGATGTACAAACAATAGTCTCCATTTGACACGAAAACATGCTTGCATATTTGTCCATGGACATTATCTGTTCCGAGAAGTGAAGAGCTTTCAGAGAGCAAAGCTCCAGGAAAACAGGCTATGAGCTTTCAGGAACAGATAATGTCCA